AATTTATTCTTGACATTTGAGTCAATTTCTAGGATTAAAGACTCCTGATCTTTCGTCAAAATTTTCATAATTCCGCTCAAAACGATCCCAGAACAATGAATTTGCGAGACGAACAGGCCGCCATGAATCAGGTAAAGCAATATGTTACATGCAATTTGATTGGTCCAATCGCTTGTAGTTAACCAATCGCTGGGCCGTTTATAATCGAGCTAAGACTTCCGCAACAAATAATGCCTTCAGTGATCTGATTAGTTGAAGCTTTCATACACGTCCAATCGCAGGGCTGTTTACAAACGGAAAACGGAGAGACTGTTCGGGAGAGCTCGTGAAAACTCGACGATAAGGTACCTGACCGCCCCTAAAATTTTCTCAACGGATTTAGACGATTCACAAAAAGGATCAATTTAAGAAATACAACGGCGGATTTCCGCGGATCCGCGGAAAATTGCCATGTATGAACCTTACCAATAATATATGAGCATCAATGAAGTTGATCCCGGCAGCATGTTGCGGCGTCACGGCCGACTTCCAGACTCTGTTTGGGACCATTTGCCTTCATAAAATGTTCCTACCGGCTTCAACAACATGTCATGAAATAAAGTTTAATCGCTAGTTAAGGGCACTAAAAAAAACAACTTAATTACATTGACACTGTATTGCAGAGGTGTCAAACTCAAGGCCGGGGCCCAGATCTGGCCCGCCACATCATTTTATGTGGCCCGCGAAAGTAAATCAAACATGTCAGCTTCCATGATGCTTCCTAAAATCTGGACCAACATTTCAAATTCTCATACGTAATAAATAAGAGAGATATTGTAAGTATTTCCTTGTTACCAAACACTCATTACCATTAACTTAACGAATACTTGAATAAACCTTTATTCTTGACTTCTTCATATGGTTTCACAGTCATAACGGCCCTCCAAGGGAAACAGTAACTACAATGTACAGTAATCCCTCGTTTATCGCGGTTAATGGAGACCAAAACCACCGGCGATAAATGAAAATCCGCGAAGTAGCGACCAATTAACATAAAAATTTTTTTTTTTTAAGTCCGCAAACGGTCCGCGAGAAGCTGCGAGTCAGCAAATACAGTACTGTACTCCATGTATATGAAAAAAAATATACACACACACACATATATATATATATATATATATTTTATGAATATGTTTGAAAAAATCCGCGATGTACTGAAGCCGCGATAAACGAACCACAGAATAGCGAGGGATTACTGTATATCAGTAGGGTACATCAACATTAATACCACTGTAAAGAAGCCGTATACGGGACCGAGACAAGGTCAAATTAGCCAAGAGAAGGTCTTCGAGCAGTACATGACACCGGAGCTCATTTCAGTCTCAAATGCTCACACACTTTCACCATTTTCTGTCTTTTTTGACACATTTTTCATTCTCTCTCCATCAACCGCATGTGCCAATTAACTTTTCAATGTCTTTGTATGAGGTGAATATAAAAATGCACGTTACCTGTACAGCTCAGGTTTGAAATATATATATATTTTTTATGCACTGTATACATTTGCTGTCTGCTGAGGGGTTGAGAACAGTGCGCGATTGCGGATGCACGCACTTTAGAGGGAACACTGCCTTCTTGTCAGCTGCACTGAACCAATGATACATTATGTCAACCATGTCAGAAATAAATGCAGTTTTTGTGAAAGTTAAAAGGAAATTTGTTTGTTAAGTACAGACAGAAAAATATCTACTGGAACATGACTAATTTCAGCTTTACATACCTTCTGCTGGTAAATGAGAAATCGTTGGAAGTCATGAAGCAAAACTACTGAGGCATCGGGTTTATCTGTATTGCTGAACAGAAGAGCGTGTACATAGTCAAGTGGAGGATGCACCTTTATATTTGTGTTTGTTTACTAATCAGGAGTCACCAACCTTTTTGAAATTGAGAGCTACTTCTTGGGGGAATGGTTAATTCGACGGGCTACCAATTGACACTCACACTGAAATAACCAATTTGCTCAAATCTACTTAAACTCTTATGTTTTTGATGAAGAATTAATGATATTCATCTATTTGAAGACGAACCTACGTTGCTCTTCTCTTGAGCCTCCCCGACGTGTCGGGGGTAAGCGATTTTGAGGTAGACGCAAAGTCGATCGGGGGGAGCCAATCAGCAAGCGTCTGGCTACCTCACCATGCTTTTCAACCAAGGCGGCATCAGACCGGGACTCAGCTTGCTTTTGTGACGCTGATCCTGTATAATGAGGAATATTCCCCTGCGCCCCCCACCAAAAAAAAGAAATAAAAAAAGGTAAGAGCAAACTTTCCACCCACTTCATGCGATGCTCCCTGTAATATCGATTGCCAGTACTCAATTGAGCACTGTACAAATGAATTATGCAAAACTGGAGCGATAGACAGCGGTGCGCACTACAAGTAAAACCACTGAAAAAAATGAAATGAACAGAGAGAGATAGAGGTTGCGCAATAGGGAACAAACGGTTGGTGTAAGCTCATCTAAATGCAAGTATGACTTGCGGAAAATGTCATCTGTGTGACTACAAAAATAACAAAAATGTGTTTTTCTGTTCATATTGTTTACATTTTGTTTACATACTGTACTTTGCAGCAGAATCACTCCCATCCCTCCTGTTAGCAGGGCAAGGAAAGGTAAAAATATGTTGTTTCTTTCATTCATTTTGGTATTTTTTTGTTTCGATATTGTACAGGTCAAGCAGGGAGCAGACGTCTACAGTGATGAAAAGAGTCCTAGTACAGATTACTGACAGCCTTTTTTTCAGATTCTTCCATAAATGTGCCTATTTGTCTTGGAAGTCTATAAATTATTACAATGATAATCTTTGTGGCACTCTTTACCAAAAGACTTGAGATAGTCATATGAATTAAAGTCACCCAATAAAATGACATCATTAGATTACAAAATTATAAATAATGATTTCAAAATGGCAGCAACCCCCAATTAATGACATTAATGATGTCATTAATCAACAGTGCTGTTGCCTTGTGATCCAAAATTGAATGGAGATAATCTTGCAGCGATGGCCAGAGACATCGGCTTGTTCAGAGGTTTACAAGCTATCCTAAATACTAGGTTACCGTATTTTCCACACTAAAAGGCGCACTGGATTATGAGGTGCACCTTCAATGAATGGCCTATTTTGTAATTTTTTCCATATATTGGACGCACTGGATTATAAAATGCATTTTACAATGCATCCACTAGATGGAGCTACGCTCCTTTCGTTCGACTCGAGAGGCGTTCATGACCACCTCTGAAAAATGTAAATTAATGATTACTTCAATGAAACTATGAAAATTGAAAATTATGCATCAAAAATGAAAATCAAGCGAGGAAATCACAAAATAAATTCTATAGCCCCCCTACAGAATTCATTTAGTGATGTCCTTGTTTGTGAATACACAACAAAGGAATAAATAACAAATACTTCTGGGACAGTCCAGTCTCCTACATTTTACTGACATCTGATCGTTATGAAATGCCAACAGAACGATCGTTCTGAAATGCCAACAGACGGAGTCATTCATAGACAATGGGTTTTGTCAAGTCAGGGTTGAGTTTGGGGGGAAAGTCTGGGTTAAATCCAGTGGTGTTTGGAGCTCAGGGGTTTGGTTAAATAAGGAGAAATCAATCTATTTCGGAGTGAGGGGTGTGGGAGATTGTGTTTCATTGAGTGCTTGTTGGGCCTATTACCTGTTGTTGTGGATAAATAAGCCCTTTTTTTATGGAAGATGATGCACACTTTGGAAAATGTTGACAGCCAATAATTTTATCCTCTGCTTATGTAAATACATACCAATGTGTTTGAAAATTTTAAAAATTGTCAATAGAATTCGCAGAATGAAAAGCACAGATGCTTTTCAGACATCTTGACAGGGACATTAAGCGACTGAAGCGCTCTTCACCTCCGCCTTGCTATCTCAGAATGTTTTTTTCAACACATCAAATGGTTGTTGGTGACCCCTGGTTTAGATGTACAAGAGCGTGCTTGCTCTGATATGCAAAAAAAAAAAGAAAACAGGTACTTACCCCAAAATAAAAGCACAATCCTTTTTGAATTCTTCAAGGATCTGAGTGAAGAAGAAATCAAAACACTGCATGAGCACGCTATACAGTAAAACAAGAAACTAGCCATTAATGATACTACCTACCTCATTTTGTTCAAACATTATTAGATTGTACAATTTGTGAAACTGCTCAAAATCCAAGCGTTCGTGTTTTGCTCCCACCTCCTGTGAAAGGAGAACAATATAAGTACTCATGACTGTGTATTACAGGAGGCATCAATCCATTTCCTATACAGAGGGATACCGCTTCTCCCCATTAGGGTCGTGGCTATGGAGGGGTCTACCACAGCAGATTTAGGGTTACTTTGAGCCTTGAGAGATATACACCGGATAGCCTGGGTTCTGCCACTGGCCAGTTTACAGCAAGAGATCTTGGAGGTTAAAGTAATTTTTTTTTTTAACGAAAAAGGAACTTTTCTGTCGGTTGACATAGCTGTAATTATAATTTGGATTTCCAGTGAATGAGTTAAGAATAAAGACGAAAAAAAAGTAAGAGTACCAGGAATTTGTCTTTCAGAGAGCGAACACTGGTGGGCTTGTAGTTGAGCATAGGAAGAAGAGTCTTCAGCTCTTTGATGGATATGCTGTCAAGATCACATGAAAGTACATTAAAACTTTATTTACCATCAAATGCTATGTTTTTTTTTGTTTTGTTTTGTTTTTTTACATACTCTAACTACAGTATGTGTAACCAGATCAATCAAGTAAAACAAAAGGGTCTATGCAAAAGGAAGCGTACCTGTTTGTCTTTGTCTGGTTGACAGAATACATCTTCTTTCTGAGCCAGCTTGAAACAAAAAAAACCTTACTTCATAATCCTGTATTGTACTGTCCTGCATTTACACACAGGCTGCCGTGTAATTATGGGTGTGTGACTGTGTGCATGATTACCTCTCAATAAGAACTGGAGTAGGAGCGGTCAGTGTTTCTTGAACTAACATTTCAAGTCCAATCAGCCATTTATATGCCTCCTCCACAGAATCAGCTAAGAAAAAAAGCATAATAAGGAGATTTATGAACAGTCCAGTCCCTTCCTGCATACGCGTGGTTTGGCACAATCAAATGATCATATTCAGGTTTTTTTTTAATGATTAAAGATATATATCTTTTTTTGATATTTTGGGTGTGGGGTTCCCGTTTATTTTTCCCCTTAGTTATGCACGGAAAACATCTCAAACAAATGAATCCAAAATATTTTTTCCAGTCAATTTCAATTGGAGCAAGGTTCTGTCGTTTTCCATAAGTCTGCATATTCACACAAACTTCCCTGAGCATTCCTTGGACCACGGTGAGCAATATAAGACATGCACATGGCATTCAAACCAGTATAACACCTGTGATTATAACATGTTACGTGAAGTAATATGAAAAAAATTCAAATCACCTTTCCATCAAAATAGAACATATGATTGAATGGAGATTTATGACACAAATAAAATAGGCCCAAGTGTTTTACTTTTATTTTAGCACACAGGTTATTTTAAGCATAATTAATGAAGCCAATCTGTACAACTATGGTCCCAAATTGCAGAGCAAAAAGTGTTTGTCTTCGCCGAGAGCCAGAGCAGAAGACATAACCATATCCCAGCATATGCCTTGTTGTTTACAGCAGTTATACAGGTTTATGAAAGAGGAAAGAATCAAAGTGTTCTTTCACCAGTGGATCAGAGACATCATACTCAAAACATGCATGATGTCTCGCATGTCTGCTACAAGCTAAGCTTGAAAGTAAACAAGAAGCTGTCACATCCACTGACGAAAAAAAGAGATTTGTTCACTTCTCCTGTCCCATTTAAATTCGCTTAAATTCCTAGCGCCGACTCTCAGGTCCAAATAGGCATCCGCACTGCACGCAGACACTCCTGTCTCCTCATCCTCAGCTCCAGCAGCCATCCATCCAGCCGCACCAACGCAGACTGTCCAAAAGCACCGACCAATCCGTTGAACAAAACGGGGGGTTGAAAAATGCTGCTCATTACAGGTGCAAAAAACACAAGCGCCCCGGGGCTGTCAAGCGGCGACTGTTAAATCGCGCCGACATTCCCACCATCAAAATCAATGCTGGTACACGCGTGCTGCCGAGAAGGTGCAACCACCAAGCACAGATTCTTCTCCAACAGTCCACAATGGGTCCACATGAAGGACAACAAACATGATAGGACAAAACAAGAGACAAAAACAACAAAAAAAGCATAGCTCTTGAGGAGCTTTTGCAGACGCCTGCCAACTACGGCTCCATCTTGAAATATGAAAGTGAAAATAGTCTGATGTTCTGTTTGTAGATTAAAGTGGGGTGGAAATGAAGGAGGCAGCCCGGTGGTCCAGTGGTTAGCGCGTCGACTTCACAGTGCAGAGGTCGTGTTTTTTTTTTTTTTTTTAAATATTAGTCATTGGGTGTTGCTTTACATTTAAAGCTATAGGGCTACTATCTCTTCCATTTTACAGGTCAATAAAAATTAATGCAATTAATATTCAAGGTGATTTTTTTTTTCCCTTATGGTCTGACATTTTGGCACTCCCTGGAGTCCTCGGTGCCTTAAGCATTTGCCATGGATATAGTACCAATGAGAGTTTTTCACAAAAAACAGCACCCCCACAGATTAAAAAAAATATTTTATATAACCACCAGTGATCAAAGATAATTTTACAGTTTGAGCCCTGTGAGTCCCAGGGACTCGCTGATCAGAAAAGTATGAGTCCCATTATGCATTTCGAGAGTCTGAAATTTCGAATTCTGAAATGGTCTACTTATTCAATTGTATATGAAAACACAAACAACAACAATATACATTGATAATAGATTTATTTCTTATAAACAAATGCTGCAAAAATTTAAATAATTCAGGCATACAAGATTTGCTGAGAAATAGGTTCTTATTTCATCCCATGGTTCAGTCTTTGAGTTCATATCTCCGCAATAAACTTTCGCAACACTTGGTCGCAACACTTGTTTTAACGTTACACAACTTGGCAATCGTCTGCTTTCCACGAAGTGAAGGCTGATCTCGCCAATCTCGTCTCGCGAGAACGGAAATCTCATCATGCGAGATAACTTAACGCGACATCAAAACAACAATGGCGGCAATTCAAACTGTGTTCGTTGCTGGGAAAAAAAGATTTACCGTAGTTTTTTTTTTTTTTTTGACTAAGAAATTTCCTTGAGATATAAATATATATATATATATATATATATTGATGCCAAACTGTTTATGCACAAGGTTACAACATTTAATATGTTCATATATCGTACTCACCTCCCAGACTCAAGGTGTTGAGAACAAACTGTGACCCATAGAAGATGGTAAAACAAGTATTGTCGTCATGTTTATCCTTGCCATCTTTGAACCGCTCAAAGTCCTTTGAATTTCTCCCTGGACGAATCTCTCGGATCTCAAATAGATCCACTGAAACATAGAAGAAGTGAATCATTACAATTGTGTAGCAGTCACAGTTAATCACTCAGTTTTCTCAACCATTGCTTCAGCTATGCACTATGGTCAGTTAAAAAAAAAAAAATCATATGAGAGCCAAGTGTAACAGTCCAAAAGTGAGTGACATTCTTTTCAACCAGTCAGTTTGTCCATCTGTCTGTCCTGTCAGTCAAGTCAATCTCTCAGTTGAAGAGCTTAATGCTCAGGGTTGGCCCATAAGCAGTTTCGGGCTACAACCGCGACAGAGGGCCAGATTCATTCCTTGGTTGTGATCTATTGTCTGCAGTGCGACTGTAGAAATGGACGCATGCATTCAGTGTTGAAGGGGAAGTCAATTCAAAAAATGTTCCTGACCATATTACGTTTGATGTGCCCCATCAGTCTCAACATGGCATTTTCAATGTTACTGTATTTGTGGAATAGGAATTCAACAGAAATGTCTACTTGGTGTTTCTCCGTTTCATGGGGCTTTCATTTTGTCACTTGTTGGAGAAACTTTCAAAATGATCATGTTAAGTTGAGGCTGATAAAAGACTGATTCAAAATGCTATGTTGTTATATTGCTGATGAAGGTTCTTTGTTTTGGGTTTACCCCATTCATGGGAAAAGAACCATATGCACACACCCGTTGAACATGATTTTCGACATTTAAAAAAAATTTGAAAAAAGGTAAAATAGCTGCAACAACAACGCTGGGGTTGAAATTATAAATTTTCAAGGATTTCCACAAGTGCCCTTTAAAGGGTTCATCTATTCAATTTGGGTACTTTGAGCATTTTTTAATTTTCATTTTTATTTGTGAATTAATGTTATTTGAGCAGTTCATGTGATTTGTGTATGGCTGGTAATATCACAATGGTTGGAGGAGAGAAGCTTCGATGCAGTTGGTGTCCTCCAAGTTCTTTTTTGTTTTTAATTTATTTCATTATTCTGATCCACTTGTCCTCACAAAGGCCGAGGAGGTGTGCTGGAGCCTATCCCAGCCGTCTTCGGGCAGTAGGCGGGGTACACCCTGAACCGGCTGCCAGCAAATCGCAGGGCACACAGAGACAAACAACCATTCATGCTCACCCTCACACCAAGGGACAATTTAGAGCACAGGTGTCAAACTCAAGGCCCGGGGCCCAGACCTGGCCCACCACATCATTTCATGTGGCCCTTAAAAGCAATCATGTGCAGGGACTTCGTGTTTCTTGCTTAAAAAACAAAACAAAACAATAAAATCCAAATAATCTTCACTTTTAAAAAAACATTGAGCCCTCGCAGCATTGTATTGTTATGAATCCTCCCTTTTATAATAAAAACAATAATATTTCAACAAACCGTTTTTACAGGCCACTGATTTCAAAATCAGTTATTCATCAATTTGTTGTACTGTTTATGTAATAACAGGCGATCATACACTTACTACATGTCACAGTTGTAGTGGCCTTCCAAACAAAACCCTAATTATGATGTGGCCCGTGAAAAAAATGAGTTTGACACCCCTGATTTAGAGCGTTCCAATCACGTGTCAGTCTTTATTCAGTGATTGGAATATGGTTCCCCAGATACGTACTGTGCACCAAGCTGAACAATGCTCTCTTCATTATGAAACTATGAATGAACTTAATGCAAACCAGGGAAAAGTACAGCCCGGGGCCAAATGTGACCATCCCTCGTCTCTGACTGACCTACTCTGACATTCACAGTGACCATGATGTCAAAGCAAATGTAAAATTTGAAATGGTTTTGCTTTGAAAGTTGCATTTTCATGTGCACAGGAAGGGACGCAAGAAAAAGCAAGCAAGAGCTCCGACTTGTGTCTGCAGTGCTGTTAACTTAGAAACGTTTTTGCTATATTTGGCAACTTTTCCAACCAAATGTGTGGACGATGGACTGATTGACGGATTGAAATAACTCTTTATAATAATTAACATGACAGGATGTCGGCATTTGAATAAGAAACGTGTGATTGTTCGGAACAACTACAATACTATCATTCAATATAATGACAAAGTACTCACGGACACCATCAGTCTTCTCAGCGGTGCGTGTCCAGGCCACCTGATGTGTTTCCATAATGACTTGAACAGTGAGCCTCTCTGCCTTTTGCCTGAAGACCGTCATGACCATGCCCATCTCCATTTCCCGTTTGATCATATTCTTCCTGTACTCTGTCATCTCTCCCTGCTGGCCCCAGTGCGCCATCTCTTCAGCCTTGGAGGAAAAGGACTAAAACATTTATTTGATGAAGACTGTCGATCAAACAGGTTCTGCTTTCAAAACTACAGTATTCGACAGTCTTTTCAAGCATTTGGGTAGCATATTCATTACTTGTTAAACAGATGTGCAACAATCAAAGCGTTGTGAAGGTTCACAAAATAAGTTCAGATGTCATTAAAAGGCCAGCCGCTAGAAGTTAGCTTACTATTTCTTAAACAGCTAAGTATACACATTTGAACACTAATATTACCATGTATTGGCCAAGGAAGAAACAACACACACACACACACACACACACACACACACACACACACACACACACACACACATACACACACACACACACAAGTAGCATTCTGATGATTATTTACTAAAACCTATACAGCTTATTAGTTTGAACTTTAAATATCTTGTCTTTGTAGTGTGTTTAATTAAATACAGCTTGTACATGATTTGCAAATCATTGCATTCTGTCTTTATTTAACACAATGTCCCAACCTCATTGAATTTGGGTTTGAATATGCAATATCTCTCTCTCTCTCTCTCTCTCTCTCTCTGCCTCTGTAAAATGTTAAACCAAGATAAATGGTTTCCACAAAAATGGCAGGCAAGAACAAAACCATTTCCATTGTGCGCATCGGCTCATCCCGAAGCAGAATTTGAAAGATGGTTTCCAATAGTGAAAACGTATGATGAGGCAAAACAAATTTCATTAAGATTCAACTTCAACTCCAGACCATTTCAGGGGATAAAATGACCAAAATAAGAGTTTTTCACAAATGTTGCCAAGTCATGAAAAGTTTTGAGCACAGCTCTATCTTGTCACAGCAGGCGTGCTGCACCTGTCGGTCCTATTTAGTCTGATAGGATGGTCATCACGTTTCTGCGAAGGTGAGACTGTATCGATCAACAAAGCAGCCTTTCATGGCCTGCCTCGCTGAAACAGGAAACGCAAATAGTGATAATGGCCAACTCATAATGACCCATTATGAGTTGGCCCAGCGACGTTTAGCGAGATTGCGTAATGCCAAGCAGCGAAACGCTTCGAAATGAAATTACGTCTCAATTCTTGTCCTTTCCTCCTCCTGCATCTCTTGCATATATGGCACTGCCGAGTGAAAAGCAAGCGAAAACGACCAACGCAGCCGCCTTCAAATGGCTCATTTCGGCGTTTCAGTATTTAATCCTCCCTGTCAGCTTTGTCATATTGTCTTGCCAGTGAAAAAAAAAAATACTTCCTCTCGCTTTGCACAATTGACTGCGGCGCTCTCCAAAATAAGCGTTTAGATATTTATTCGAATTTCTTACCTTGCAAGTCGAACAGATCCTTTAGACGCCACACAGTAACCACTTTTTTAAAATAATTTTATCATGTCTTCAACAATGTCAAATTAACCTCCGGGCGACAGAGTGTTGACAATGACATTCACAAAGCTGTTAGTTCCTCTATCTGACTCTACAAGGAAGTGAAGTTAACTTTTAAGCATCAGCCTGGTTATTAAAAAAAAGAAAAGTCCGGAAGCAAGGGCGATATCTATGCAAAATAACAAACACAAAAGGCTTCGGACCAGAGTGTGCAGTATGCCAACTCGCCGACTGTAAATGACTTAACGCAGATGCGGTTCTCCAGAATTCCATTTCAATCAACCAAGTGATTGACTTTTAAAATGTAATGAAACTGAACAATTTTGACCAGTGCACGGAACAGAAAACAACAAACATGTTTGTTTAAACTTAAACGTGGTAATAAAAATTAAAACACTGTACAATTATGTCATCCAACATGAAGGTAAAAATAGAAAAAAAACAATACTAAACATATCCATCAGGATTTGACTGGCCAATTTGATGACCTGTTTTCGTCTGTTCTTTAATTATCGCCCCTAAATAAATAAAAAGGCCCAATACTGTATTCAATTCAGAGATGAAAGTCCTCCGGATTTTCCCGGAATTACGGGTTTTTCACATTTTTATGAAAATCTCTCCGGAGAATTGAGGAAAATTTGCCTAAAATTAATCCGGATATTAGTTGACAACATTGAACGAACACACGTTTGAGTTCGTTGTTTTGCTTTCACGAGCGTAGCCATGTTGAGACACTAACACGAGTAACAGTAGAGATTTTCGTCTCTTTATCAACACATTTGCTAAACCCCAGTGGAACGAATAAAAGACACCTTGGACAAGACAGTTGTCGAAAAAATATATTTGGACAAAAAGGGAAACACAGATTTGCAGAAAAACGTGTCCGTCCGACTTCAAGTGTCGTCTCGACTAGCTTAGCTTAGCTGTTGTTGTGTGTGACGTTGGGCTCGAGTGGCGTCGCCACAACAGTAATACCCTCGCCTCGCATTCTCATGGCCTCGTCATACCTCTGAGATTTCGAAATTTCGGCGAGAACGGAAGCCACAAAGGGTGCATGAGCCCAATCACTTAACTTGATTTGCAGGCCCGAGCCCGAAGCAAACCCGAGATTTCATATTTTATTTGTGAGGACTCGGGAAGAGGAGGGGTGATTTCTGATAACAAAGCCTGTCTTTTGGAACGAAATCTAAGTTAAACAAGACTGGATAAACATTTACATCTTTTATATTTCTGTTCCTGAAGAGGTTGTATTTGCGGACAATCATTGACGGATTTTTTTTAAGAGTGGACGGGGAAAATTTGAGGCCGTCCGTCATTTTGACGGGTTGAAAATTGAGCCATTCACCACAGCAGCAGTACGTCCTCTTAAGAATCGAGTGTGGCACTTGAAGAGAGAATCAGCGAGACCAAAAAGAACAATGACGGCTGGATCATAAAGATATGAAGGAGTTTTTTGAATTGTCATTGCGAGAGTTTAGTACAGTACGTGTTGTGATGACGCCGCTTCTGTTTTTTGCGAACCACGGTCTCTCGTGGCCAAAACTATTCG